TTTGCTATTGACTGTTCAAATGCGGTGTGCGCGCGTGTGTGCGTGTGTGTGTGTGTGTGGGCGCGCGCGTGTGTGTGTGTGTGAGTGTGTGTGTGTGTGTGTGTGAGCGTGAGCGTGCGTGTGTGCGTGTGTGTGTGTGTGCGTGTGTGTTTTTGTGTGTGTGTGTGTATGTGTGTGTGTGTGTGTGTTTGTGCTCTGCAGGTGATTTCCTCGTCAAATAATGCAAAAGAAATTCAGAAGTTTTTAATGGACTGGAAAAACACACTCGAGCAGTGATTTCCCTAAATGACTTCCGTTTGGCAGCATACGGCCTTTGCTCAGAGAGGTCAGACAAACACGCCGCTCAAAGGGCCGTTAGGAGAGAGTTTGAGGTTTTATTTCCTCTGCTGATGGTCTGGACAGATAAGGACAGAACTGTTTGTTTGTTCAGACGCTGGTCATTTCCCCAGGGCTCCTGTACTGCAGGTGAAAGCCAACACAAACACCAGCACAAACTCAGCACAACACAAACAAAATATAGTGTCTTACATTTACGTGTTTTGGCAGAAGCTTTTATTCGCATTGGTTGCATTCCTGCAGCTTGAACAGCAGATCATTGCTCTGGTTACGATCATGGGTTCAATTCCCAGGAAATGCATGAACTGATACATTTTATACCTTCAATGCAACATAAGTCGCTTTGGATAAAAGCATCTGCCAAATGCATGAATGTAAATCTTAATGACTAACAATAAAGAAAAAATGTTCACAAGACAAAGATTTCAACACAGTGTTGAGTAGACAAGTTTATATTGCACAGTTCATGCACAACGGTAATTCAGATTGCTTTATATAAAAATAAGTTTAAAAATAGACTCAAAAAGTGCGTAGAAAGTTTCTTGTAGACAAAATCTTCAAACTAATAGCCAATGATTTGCATGTATGTTGATGTTATAGTGTAAAATGAGTAATAAATAACATGCATGAAAAAGAATGTGCATTTGTAGAATTAACTTTATTTTTTTATGTTATGAGTTTAATACATTCTGCTGTGTTGTACACTGGTCAAGTAAAGTTTGTGAAAGTTTGAAGTAGTAAGACTGAAATAGTATTTTGTTTTATTTACAACTTCAAAAATAATTTTTACAGTAGTTTTTTATTACTTTTAGTTCATTAAATTATTTAAATACATCAACTTAAACTTAACAAAAATGAGAAATGTTGCCTTGGCAACTAGCTGAAATAAAAGTTATATATATATATTTTTTTTTTTTTTTCAGTCAGTGTTTATTTTATTTCAAATAATGAAATAATTAAGTAAATATTTTTTTTATAGTTTGAGTTTACAACAATAATAACCCTGCATATCATCAATGTACCAGTTATGATAGTAAACTAAAACTAAACTAAAAA